CCCGGGCATCCACTCATATGATGTCCTAGATCAGCCTTTCTGCTACGGTTCACACCCTTGTGAGGTATTGTCCGCTCTGATCTCCTATGGCCTTACGATTTTGTCCTACAAAAGGTGCCTCACAAAGAAGAGATGGTGTGAACCTTTTTATACCTCAGGACCCTCTTATTATGTTCGATGTGAGATTCATGACTCATCTTTAGGTTCGTGACACTATAACCTTCCTCACATGTAATTGAACTCTCGAACCCTGTTCTGGTTAGTGGACCTGAACCTATTCTTTTAGGGACCCTTAAGCTTAGATGTTCCCTAAAAGGATAGATTTCATAGGTGGCCAGTCACACCTAGATAAAAAAAGATTGATGGCGACTCCTTCAAGTCAATGTCTAGCGATAGATCCCCGGATCTAGACGTTATGACAATATATAATATAATAAAGTGTAATACCTCTTTATAAAAGTTTGAATATCTGGGTTAGGCATCGCCATTGGATTAACTAAATTGAATAAGTATGGTGTTAAAGATTTGGTGTCAATCACAATAAGCACCCAATGACGACTGCAAAATAATAACAATGGTATACTTAGATTATGCATTAGATTAGATTTTGGTAAGGTTGGAATATGACTTATTGCAAATTATATGAGAGCAAATAATAATCAACCAATCTTTTCATACATTAGATCACATGATTAGTATGATAAACAACTGTGCCACTCTGCTCACTAATGAAGTTGGGGTCAACAAATCTAAATCTATTGGTCAATTGTCTCCTATTGAGCTCTTTATATAAGAAGTTGCACAATAACAATCAACACTGCTAGTTAGTGTTACACCCTAATATAGATTAATACATATTGAATATGCATATTTGTATTTATAAGCTAACCTCATATAAGCAACAATATCAACAGCTGATAATTCTTTCAGTTCACAAAATTCTTTAACATCATCCGGACCAATGAAAGAGAATGATGGTTTATCAAATAACCTTTCATCAAACTCAATGGTTATGAAGTTTCCTATGGATAAATGTTTTAGTGAATATTTGGATAACTCATCCTTGATAGCCTAAGCAAGGGTCATATTGTGAGTTTGAACATCTTGCTACAATATTTAATGAAATATATGTATTAAAATGAAATCAATCAATATAATAAACAAATTAATATTAAAATTATAAACAATATCATACTTCTTGGGTGGTAGTGGAGGATGGGTTCATTTCTTTACTTATAACGAAAGCTTTTCCTACGGGGACGATGCTATCAGACTGACTTACTAGCATGTTATGCTGTATTGTTGCCAACATGAACTCTAAAGCAATGAGTCTTTGTTGTTGGTCATTAACGCATTATTCCTAATCATCTATTCATTGCTATTGTTGCTCAATGATTGCTTCATTTCTCATTCGTGAGATTTTTTTTTATTATCAAAAAACTTTGATAGCAAGACAAATTTACCAACCCCACGAACCTGACTAGGCCTTTCTTTAGCGTTTAATGTTAAAAAAAAAAAGATCTTTGCCATACTAGGTTACTAGTTCATCAGATTTGACTTTGACAGCATAATTATCTTGAAGGATAATAATAAGATTGGTTGTAACAACAAATCTATACAAGCTAGTATACACTAATGCATACAACCACAATGCCAATTATACATTATATTAAAAAAATAGTTATAAATACAATATTTTTTACCATTTTTTTAGTTGTTTCATCTGTAAAGGATTAATCTTTTCGTAGATGTCCTTGTTTTCAAACATCCCATATGGAAACTTCTGTGTCAGAGTTTGCTGATTCCTATTAAATTATCGTAATAAAAAAATCAGAATGTATGAAATAAATGTTCATAAATATTCATTAATAAGTATAAAACAAGTGTACGAATACATACAAGCTCATACTTCACATTGTATATGCCTTTCTTGTTGTCCAATGATGATATTGTTGTTTGGCCCGAATGTTCCGTTGGTGTTCTTTGATTTTTTACAAAAGAAAAAAATTATGTCAATCACATATGAAGATCAAAGGCTATATTACATAAAGATTTATAAATAATTTTTTTGGTAATGGGTTTGTGTATTGAAAAATCTTTTGAAAGCTGATATTAAACAAAATTTATCAAATCTTCAACACTTATGACATTTGTATATGCCGCATGTGGAATAGTAAGATGAAATGGGGCTTAAGTAAGAATGGTGGGTCTACCTTTGTTTGCCAAATTATGAGCTGAATAATTGGAGTGCCATTGAAATGCCTTTGACCTTTGAAACTAATTTAATGTAATTGTATATCCCAATAGTTATTGCCCAAGGCATTGGGATGATTTTTCTTGTTTGGGCCATTTATATTTTATTATTCTAATAAAGATTAGGAAGGATGCATTTTCATTCATTTCTTTTTGTGTCTTCATTATTGCCATTTTTTCTAAATACATCTTGCTAACATATCCCATTTCATTTAATTTCAGGTTCTTAAATGAACATGAAGATAATTATGATAACAATCAAGAGGTTAATTTTGAGAATTCAATTAACACTGATAAACTTGACAATGAAGAAAATTCTGAGAAATATGTTATGCTTCCGGACCTAATGAGATTGATTAAAAAAGAAAATAAGTCAATTGAGCCTCATCAGGAGATAATTGACTTAATGAATCGAGAGATGAAGAGAATAAGAAAGAGGTCAGAATCGACACTTCACTTTTGTTAGAGGATAGGCAACGTTTGAAAGATCTACTTCGAGAATTCATAGATGTGTTTGCTTGGTCATGCCAGGATATGTCAAGGTTAAGTACAAAGATAGTAGAGCATAGACTACCTTTAAAGTCAGAATGTAAGTCAGTCTAGCAGAAATTGAGGCAAATGAAGTCTGAAATGCTACTAAAAATCAAAGAAGAGGTGAAGAAATAGTTTGATGTAGGCTTTTTACAAGTGGTTAAATATCCAGAGTGGGTGGCCAATATAGTACCAGTTCTTAAAAAAGATGGAAAGGTACAAATATATGTATACTATCGTGATTTAAATAGGACTAGCCCAAAAGATAACTTTTTTTTACCTCATATCAACACACTAGTAGATAACATGGCTAAACATTCAATGTTCTCTTTCATGGATGGGTTTTTAAAGTACAATCAGATAAAAATGGCTGTAAATGATATGGAAAAGATCATTTTCGTGACCATGTGAAGAACCTTTTATTACAAAGTCATATCTTTTGGATTAAAAAATGCTAGGGCAACATATCAAAAGGCCATGGTAACACTCTTCCATGATATGATGCATAAAGAGATTGATGTGTATGTAGACGATATGATTATAAAATCTTATGAGAATAAAGATCATGTCACCAGCCTCAAAAAGTTATTTGAGAGATTGAAAAGATTTTAGCTCAAGTTAAACCCAGCCAACTACACCTTTGAGGCAAAGTCAGGGAAGTTACTAGGCTTTGTGGTCAGTGAAAGAGAAATTGAAGTTGATCAAGATAAAATACGGGCCATTCAAAAATTGTCACCTCCGAGTACACCAAAAGAAGTTTGAGATTTTTTGGGAAAGTTAAACTACATTTCACGGTTCATATCTCAGCTTACTTATAAATGTGATCTCATTTTTAAGCTTCTCAGTAAGAATAATCGTGAAGAATGAAATAGGGAATGCCAAGTGACTTTTGATAAAATTAAGCAATACTTATCAAATCCTTTTTTGTTGGTGTCACCTGCTTTAGGAAAACCCTTAATTTTATACTTGACAGTGTGCGAAAATTTAATGGGATATGTACTGGGACAACAAGATGAGTATGGTAGAAAAGAGAGAGCTATTTATTATCTGAGTAAAAAATTCACTAAATACGAGTCCAAGTATTTTTCTTTGAAAAAAATATGTTGTGCATTAGCTTGAACTTCTAAAAGACTCAGACAATACATGTTTTATTATATTACTTGGCTTATAGCCAAGCTGGATCCAATCAAATATATCTTCGAGAAGCCTTCTTTATATGAAAGAATTGCTATACGACAAGTAATGCTTTCAGAATATGATATCATATATGTAAGCCAAAAGGTAATACAAAAAAGTGCGATAGCTGAGTTTCTTACAGATCGTGCTACTGAAGAATATAAACTAATGAGATTAAAGTTTCCCAATAAAGATCTAATGATTGTTTCTCAATTAAAGAAGGGAAAGCATGAAGAAAGATGTTGAAATATGTATTTTGATGGAGCTGTCAATGCTTTGGGACATAAAATTGAGACAATTCTAATCTCTCCATAATAACAATACTATCTTGTAACAGCGAGATTAAATTTTAATTACACAAATAACATCGCTGAATATGAGGTATGTGTCATGGGTTTACAAGCTATTATAGATAGAAGAGTGAAAGCATTAAAAGTGTTTGGGGACTCAGCTCTAGTTATATATAAATTGAAAGGAGCATGAGAGACGAGAGATTTAAAACTTGTTTCATATCATAAGTATATTTTAGAGTTGATAAAATAGTTGAAGATATCCATTTTGACCATTTACCTCGAGAGTAAAATCTGATTATCGATGCCTTAGCTATTCTGGCTGTAATGATTCAAATTAATGACAATACTAACATTTAGCCCATCAGATTAGATGTTAAAGATATGCTAGCTTATTACTCCAATGTAAAAAAAAATAGATGAGAAGCTTTGGTATTATGATATCTTACAGTATATTAAGGATCAACAATACCCAGTTCAAGCAACAAAGAACGATAAAAGGGTTATTTAAAGATTAGCTATAAGCTTTTTCTTGGATAAGGATGTTCTGTATAAAAGAAGCCATGATCAAATATTACTGAAATGCGTAAATAAGGCTGAAGCAAAAAAAATCATTAAAGAGGTGTATGGTAGAATATGTGAGGCACATGCCAGTAGACATATGATGGTGAGACAGATCATGAGAGCAAGATACTACTGGTTGACAATGTAGAGTGATTACATTGATTATGGTCATAAATACCATAAATGTCAGATATATGCTGATAAGATCCGTGCTTCGCTATCTGCTTTACATATTTTGGCACCACCTTGGCCATTCTCAATTTGGGGCGTAGATGTCATTGGTCCTATCACCCTAAAAGCTTCTAATGGGCATAGGTTTATTTTTATGATGATAGACTACTTCACGAAATGGGTGAAAACAACATCATTTGGGAATGTGACACGGTCTGTGGTTTATAAGTTCATAAAAAAAGAAATCATTTACAGATACAAATTTTTAGAGAGAATCATTTCAGATAATGCCAAGAATTTGAATAACAAAATAATGCAGGCAATATGTGTCAAGTATAAGATCAAGCATCACAATTCAACACCATATTGTCCAAAAATGAACGGGCTGTTGAGACGACAAACAAGAATATAAAAAAAATTCTTGAAAAGATGATCGAGACCTATAAAAATTGGTATGAAAAGTTGTCATTTGCACTACATGCATATCGAACATCAGTGCGTACCTTTATTAGGGCAATCCCATTTTTTTTATTTATGGGATGAAAGCTGTACTACCAGTAAAAATGGAAATCCTATCCTTGAGGGCTCTAAAAGAAGTTGAATTGAAAGAAGCTAAATGGATTTGAGAACACTATGAACAGTAAAATTTCATAAAAGAAAAGAAAATGACTGCATTGTGCCATAGTTGCTATATCAAAGAAGAATGATGAGGACTTATGATAAAAAAGTTTGATCCCGTTACTTTCAAGAAGGAGAGTTGATCTTGAAAAGAATCTTTCTAACCTAGCACGATAATAGAAGAAAATGAACTTTGAATTGGGAAGGGTCGTATGTGGTAAAACGAGCTTTCTCGAGTGGAGTACTGATACTGACTGAGATGGATGGAAATAATTTACCTCATCCTATAAATTTTGATACTGTGAAGAAATACTATGCTTAAAAGAAAAAAAGATAAAAAAAAAGAATGAAAAAGGAGGACTCAAGGCAAAAACTTTAAAAAGGCGGTTTGAGTCATAAAGAGTTTATCTAAGTTGAAAACCTGAAAAGATAGCTTAGATAAGGAGAATACAGCATCAAATCTGAAAATTCATTGGCAGAAAGGCTAACAAATTCAGAGGAGCTCTAAGTTATTAAGTGTATCAGATGATTGGGTTTTCAGAAGAACTTTGAGATGCGTTATCATGATTGTCCGATTGTTCATTTTTGGGTATTGTCTCCCTATGCCTATTTTTGTAATTCTTTCTTAGCCAAAGTTTACCAACATTTTTGCTAACAAAAGACATTCTATTTCACTTTTTGTGTGCCTCTTTTGTTGACTGTTTCCTAACTATTCTTATTCTTTTCTTCTTAATACCTACAATGGAATAAATGTGCAAATGCATTCTTACTTTTTGAGTTTGAAATAATGATTGATAAATGAATAATGGCATGAAAGATTTTACATTACATTAAAGAAGTCAAGAGTGATAAGGCAGAATCGAGATGTTCAATTCCTAATAAAGACATTGAATTTGAAAACAGATTTTTTACAAAAAAAATATGAGAATTAAGTGGAAGAGATTATTAAGAGTTACACTGGTTCGATCTTAGAAGAATAGCGTAACTTAGTCTTTGAAGAATCAAGGGTTTGAAGCCCAAGAAAAGAGCTTGAGAAACTTGAGTACCACAATTGAATATGAATTAATTAGCTAACATTTGCATAGCATGCATTGAATTTCACACGCATTGCATAGCATAAACTACATTCAAGAAAATATATTGCATAAATTCAAAAAGCAAGGCTATTCCAAAATCCCATATAGAAAAGACGATGTGAAGACATTTTTAAATTTGAAAAAAAGCTTGTCAGGTAAGTTTTTAGTCTTTAAAATAAGATATCTCTCGGTATCATGATTGATTTGTAAGACCTTTGGGCATAATCTCCTGAAATTCCTTCAAACACGATTTTAAACTTTTTTTGACATGATTGTCAAGGAGCAATTTATCTTTCAAAGTTGTGATGCCTCTGTTTAGAGAAACAATTTACTTTTTCAAAGTTGTGGTGCTTCTGTTTAGAGAAGCAATTTATCTTTCAAAAGTCATGGTTGCCTCTATTTAAAGGAGCAATTTATTGTTCCCAAAGTCGTTGAGCCTTTGATTAGAGAAGCTTTGTTTATTTTCTTTCAAGTCATTGAGCCTCTCATTAGAGGAGTTTTGTTTATTTTCAAAAGTCGTTGAGCCTCTGACTAGGAGAGCATTCTATTTTTTAAAGTCGTTGAGCCTCTGTTTAGAGGAGCTTTATTTATTTTTCAAAGTCGTTAAGCCTCTGATTAGATGAGCCATTTATTTTTCAAAGTCGTTAAGTTTCTGATTAGATGAGCCATTTACTTTCAAAGTCATGGAGCCTCTGTTTAGAAGACCTTTGTTTATTTTATTCAAAGTCGTTAAGCTTCTACTTAGAGGAGCTTTGACTAAAATTTTAACAAAAAAAAATAAAAGTATCGAGTTGAGTCTTAAATGGGTGTCTACGTCTTTGTACAATTCTTGTTTCATAAAAAATGTGTAAAGATGGGCAGCTGTAGACACCCAATTTGTCTAGGCCTGGATCGATGGGGCCTAGTCCAAATGGGTACTATAGGTTCATTTTTTTAAATTTAATTTAATTTAATTTAATTATTTTTTTATTATTATGATTATTATTATTATTATATTTATCTATTAATATTTTTTATTTATCTAATTATTTTCTTTTAGTTATCTATTAATATATTTATCTATTATTTTTATTTTTTTGGCTGAGATTAGGATTAGGATCAAAAGTTGAAATGAATTTGGTCGTGATTTGAGAGTTGTCAAAGTGAGGATTGGATTTAAAGATTGAATCTAAATCTCAAAGGGAGTTGGGATTGATTAGAAATTTTTCTGATTAATTCATATAAATAGGTCCACAGAAAACAAACAAGGAACACATACAGAGAGGAAACAGAAGCTAAAAAAGGGTTTTGGTGCATTAGAAATAACTTTAGGAATTTGTGGGAAATTTTTTAGAATTTTTGAAGTTTTTTTTTTGGAAAATTTCTAAAAATTTTTCAAAATTCGGTGAAATTTTTAGACAAGATTCAAGTTTTTCAATGAGTTTTTCGACCAACTTTAAAGTTTTCAACATCTTTTTCTAGATTTTAGTAGAACATTCAACCGAAATTTGCGATTGTTTAGAGAGAATGAAGAGAAAAGAAGGGAAGAGAGAGGAAAAGAGAAGAAAAATCTAAAGAAAAATCGAGTTTCACCCTTATATACCCTCCAAAAAATGACGTCGTTTTTGCATTAGTAAACCCACAAGATCCATGCGTTTTGTCAAGATCTGACCCGACCTGTAGCGCACCCGATCCAGCGACCCGCTTCTTCACCTGGGTTCGAACCGAGTCGTTTTTCTGTCGAGCTGCACATCCGAACTGTCGTTTTTCCTGGAGTCGAGCCGTTCCAAAAGTTTTTTTTCTTTTTTTTTATTATTATTACTTATTGATTAGATTAGAATAATTTTGTATTCCTTATTTTATTTTTATTTTATTTTATTTTTTTAAATGATTTTCTTAAAATAAAATTCTAAAAAAATATTTTTAAGGAAAAGTTAAAAGTATTAATTTTCCTTGAAAATAATTTTCTAAAAAATATTTTTAAGGAAAAGTTGAAAGTATCAATTTTTCTCGAAATTAAAGTTTTAAAAAAATATTTTAGGGAAAAGTTGGAAGTACCAATTTTCCTTAAAAAAATATTTTAAGGAAAAATTGAAAGTATCAATTTTCTTTGTACAAAAGCAATGAGTTTTTGAAGAGAAAATGATTTATATCTAAAGTTGAATCATTATTCTTTTTTTTTCATTTTATTTCTTTTTCTTTTTGAATTTCTTTAATGTTAAATAATCCGACGATAGAGCTTTTGTAAGTGAAATAGTAATTTCCTTGCATACTCTTGAGATGAGAGAAATTTTTTAATTTTCTGCTAAAAGTATTAGAGTCAATTGAGAATAATTTTTAATAATGAATTACTTGGTAAATTTTTAAGGCTTTTAGATAATACAAAATTAAATCGGTACCATCTTTCGATGGACGTTATGAGGGTGCTACAACTTTACTCACATGTAATTGTACTCTCGAACCCTATTTTGGTTAATAGACCTGGACCTATTTTTTTAGAGATCCTTAGACTTAGATGTTTCTTAAAAAGATAAATTACTTAGGTGATCAATCGCACTTAAATAAAAAAGATTGGTGACGACTTCTCAAATCAATATCTAGCAATAAATCATCAGATCTAATCGTTATGACAGCAGCCAGTACCTTTCTTGCGTCTTGGTATTGATAAGTAGATATGCGTATTCCTCGTGACATTTCTATTCATTGACAAGTTTTGCCTTTATATAATGGTTTCTTTTTAACTGGAAATAGAAGTGTCATTAGTTTAGTGTGAATGATTGGGCAAAGTGAAAGGCCTTAAGATAACGTTGACATCGAGAGAATTGTCCATCTCCTCATGGAGACTTTATAAGATGATTTTGTAATTGAATAACAAGAGCTACGATCTTTGTGTAAATGCTTGGATTCTCTAATGTTCAGTGCTTTGTTCCGATAAACATAAATAAATTAAATGATTTTTGCAAATCTTAAGCTCAAACTCTCTATTTCAGTAACTTGCCAAGTCAAACTACTTTTACAATTTTTTATTAGAAAGTCAATTTTGAATTAGCAATTCCTTTGTTTTCATAGTCGATGTATTCTATGGTTATTACTTGCATTATATATTAATTTCAAAAAAAAGTTACTGTTGCATTATATATTAACTTTTACTGATCTCGTTAATATTTGATAATTATTTATGAAACATCAAATTTTATAGATCCCCAAACGAAGTGCATGACTCTATCGAAACTAACAGAAAAGAAGAAATAATTTGCTAACCAGAATTCTATTTGTTTGATCGGTAATTAGGAGTCAATTATGTGATAATATATATATATATATATAAATTGAGTGACATCATGATTTTCAATGAAATCTAACGAAAAAATAACAATAATGATGATAATTGATAATAATAAAAAATAAGTGATAAATTGATAATCTAATGAATTATTATGATCAAGAGTACTTGTCTTAGACCAATTTTGTTTAGTATTTATACATTTTTTAAAATTTGATAATTAATAGTAAATAGGAATAATAAATTATTATCATGAATATTTAAATCAATCATTTTTGAGACTTGTGGAAGTTTGACACTTTAATATATATAAAGAAGAAGCGGAGAAAACTTATATGAAATTCTTTAAGTGAAATTTGTAAATTTTTTAAAAATGATTTAATAAAAATTTTAATAAAAATCCAAATTGATATATTAATATAATTTAATATGAAAATCAGTAATATATGAAAAAATTACTAAAAAAATTATTTATAATTTAAATTCGATCGATACTTATTTAACGGTTAAAATTTTGTCATTATTTTTACTAAAAATATCTATATAAAAAATATATAAAAATTTTTTCAAATTTTTTTAAATTTTACACACTTAATCTATGTAATATGACCTTTCAATTTATTGATTTTGATTTTTCATTTTAATTTTTATTTAATCTTTTTAAGATAAAAATTTCACAAATTGCACCTAAATAACTTCATTTTCAGAAGAAGTTACGTCATATTATATATGTGTTCTTTGTCTTCTTCCTAGCATGTAGATTCTGCATCATATATATTTAATAATTTATGTGATTGATTGCCCTTTAGTTAAAAAAACAAAATAAAACTTTTGAATTATTATCACATATTCAGTGAATTATCTGAAATATTCATAAAACAAACATGCAGAGAGACTTTCATACTTTATCTGAATTATTTCAATATGTTGTCACATTTGTCTCACTAATTTTTTTTATGAGAAATCTCATAATTTATATTTAATAATATATCAATCCCATTTTCTCAGAACCTGGATGCACTTCCAACGGGATTCCATATAGTAAGATGAATCATTTTGTGAATAAACCCCAAATTTAAAGTAATGGTTTTTGCCTCCGTGGCCAGTAGGCTCCAGCTTTAGGACACCATTGATATAAACCTGTAATTTCGAAGCATTCACATCATGAATTACATTAAGCCGGAACCATTTTTCGTAGATGTTCTCTAACACAACTGGACCTGCCCTGTAGTAATAGAGTGAGCCATTGTAGACTCTCAGCATTAGGGTTGTGGCTCGAGGCGGAGTTGCCCCAAACACTTGCATGATGCAAACACCAGTGGTTCCCGTTGGCACGTAGCCATAGCCTTCGAATTGCCATACACCAGAAGAATAATCATATCCCTGAGAGATTAAAGAAAATTTTCATGAAACATGGGTTCCATATATATTATTCCAATAAATGGTTGATTTAATCGGCTTTAATTCATTTTCTCGAAAAAAAATTTAATTTAATCATGCCGATGGTTCTTTGTTGAGGTCATTTTCGAATGGCACGTCTGTACCACTGTAGTTACGACTAGTCTATCTTCCCGGCTTTTTTCTTACCAAAAAGAATATATATATATATTTAATAAATATGTCTTACGTGGAAAAAGAGGCCCGGCCGTTTGTATAAAGATTAATAAATCAGAAGCAACGTAAATGGAGCCTTACTTTTATGCGGATCTCAGATCGGGGCTTGGTGGTGCTATTTTTGAACAAAGGTTCGTCCGTGGAGTAAACCCAGAGCTTGTGGACTCCATCCACAAAGCTGTAGCGGTCGCTTACAGGTAAGTCGTAGGGCTTGTCATTATGAAAGTTAGATGCGTTCAATGGGAGTTCAACAAAGCCTATGGTTGGATCCACAGCCGAACTGCTTGCCAAATGCACGAGTACTAAAACCGAAGCAAAGCTTAGTAAAGCAGTACTCATATTCTAACTTCTTCAAAAAAAAAAACTTTTCTCCTCTTTGTGTCATGTATTACGCATGGTGTGCTATCGATTCTTATATAGTCGGTTTGTGGGTATTATCAAATGCATATACTTTGTCCAAAATCGATCGAATGGCTATATTTGTTTTAACCTATAAAAAATTGTCACCCTTCGAATTAATTTAATGGCTGATAGCTTCCCTTTTTCTCCAGTTTGAACATTTCTTAACTACCCAGGCCGCTCAAAGTCGTCATCAATTAATCTCCAGAACTTCAAGACCGACAGGGTTTCAATCAAGGAGGGATTACTGGTCGGACCTTGCTATTTGTTTTAAGGGATTTTGTCATCATGTTCTGCTTTTTTTTAATCATGTTTTGCTGTTTTCATGACCAGTAATTAACTTAGCAAGCCGATGCCATATTGTTTTATCTTACTATATTTTATGATCTAATATTATTTGGTAACAAATATTAGGGTTTTCTATTCAACATCATGGTCATGGTCATGGTCAAGGTCATGGTTGTGCAACCTGGTGCGCTATAAACTATAAAGTAATACCATTTATCATTAATTATTTATAAATTAGTAAATATTAGTTGATAATTTTATTAGTTAGAAGATCAGTCGATGCCTAAGGAAGCAAGGAACTGGGGAAGAAAGGCCTGTGATTGATTATTCAAGTGTAAGAGTAAGTGAGGTAGATGTCATTATAATGCGAACAAGACAAGAACTGAAGCCTTGTTAAATAATGATAAATTCCCGTTAGCATGATATTTGAATTCCATTTTTTTAATTTTTCAAAAGCTTTCATTATAGTATACATCCAATAATGCACAAATTTCTTCAAATTTTAATGATCGTGCACAAAAATTAATGAATTTAGAACAATTTTAAAATATCATTGATATTAAAATTGAATTCTTAAATTTGTGAATGAAAATAAATATTGTGCACATGTCGTGAATGTGTTGTTATTTACTGTAAATATTGATTTTTAACTCATTTTTTATTAGTTTTAAAAATTGTTATAATCCTTTCAACGCTATCTCCTTATATTACTAATGTATATGTGTATCAATAAATACTCAAAGATATGTAAATTTATGTGCATGTATAAAATTAAGGAACGATGAAGTCAATTATCATTATATAGGTTGATGATGCACCTTCTATATAATGATCTTTATATAATATTTTTATAATTTCATGTACAATCTTTAAAATTCAAGTTTTAAATCACAAATTTTAAAATATTTTAAATTCATTCATTTCATCAATTAACATTAAAAATTCAATGAAATATGTTGCATGAATGTCCACAAAACATAAATTTCAACGCAAAATTAGACTCTTATCTTTTTGTCGTATGAACATTCACATAGTGCTAAGATGGTAAATTTCATTACATTTTAATGACATCAAAAAATTGTTTTATAAAATCACGGATAAAAATAAAATATTTTACAAAAATCATGAATGTATGATGTAATTCACTCTCTAATTTTTATAACAGTTACTACAATTTCATCATAAATAAACAATATATTCATACACATAAAAAGTTAATCTAAATTTTTGTCGTATCAATTGAGAAAATTATGAACTATGACATATTTTACGGACGAAATTTTATCATACGTAGTGTAACAGTTACTCGATAAACTCTTAAATAGGACATGTTTTATTAACCTAATAGGTAGTGCTCTTTCTTACTCTTTGGCATAAAAGGTCTATTGGTTTCTGGGGCTAAGTAAGCCTTCGTGTTGGGTTTTAATTTTGGTATTTGTATTTTTTTTTCTACTTATTATAATGATTTTTTTTTCATAAGTGAATTTAAAAAAAGAAATTCAAATCATGTTAAATATCTATTTTATGTGTGATTTATCTTATTTTATACCAAAAGCGGATCACATGTACCACTCAATAAGCCACAATTTGGAGAGCTTTTCGCAAAAAGAAAAAAAAAAATCAGTTACATTTCTTTAGAACTTTAATACTTTTCCAACGGGATTCCATGTAATAGGAATCATCATTTTGGGCATATACCCCACATTTGAAGGTATGGGATGTCCCTCCACGACCATCAGCCTCTAATTTTAGATACCCATCAATGTAAACCTTCACTTTGGCAGCATCAACATCATGGATAACATTCAACTTGAACCACTTGTCATAGATGTCCTGGACGAGGACCGGACCCCTGTAGTACGAGAGGGAACCGTTGTAAACCCTGAGCATTAGGGTGGTGGCTCGAGGAGCGGTTGCACCAAAAACTTGCATGATGCAAACGCCTGATGTCCCTTGGGGCACGTACCAGTGTCCTTCAAATTGCCACACGCTAGAGGAATAATTGTAACCCTAGCAAAATTTGGGTCTTTTGGTTACTATAAATGATGTTAAATAGCTATAACATAGCGAAAAAGGAATAAAAATTTTAAGGAACGTTTTAATTTCCATTTTATTTCCTCTCATACAGTGACTGTCGACAATTTCCGATACTCAGTGATGTTGGAACAAATAAGATATTGTTTTTACCTGAATAGCAATCTCAGTTCGGGGCTTCGTTTGGCTCGTAGGAGTATGCGGTTTGTCTGTGGAGTAAACCCAACATCTGTGAAGTCCATTGATGAAGCTATAACGCTGATCTTCAAGCAAATCATAGGGCCTTTGGATGTGGTAGTATGTCCGGTTTAAAGGAAGAGGAATGAACCCTTTAGTAGGATCAACAGGTCCCAAAGCAAAAGTTTGACATACAGTGACTTGAAGAAATGTCAGGCAAAAGCAAGTCAATTTGGTTAGAGAAGGTGCCATCTTCTTGTATGAAAGACGAACGTTGATGATGGTTTTCATTATGGAAGATCTAGGCATGGATGGAATTAATATATAGGATGGATAGGAAATTTTGTTTGATTGAAATGTTAGGTGAAAGAAGATTTTTTTTTTTTTTTAATTAAAGATTTGAATGCTATTCTCGGTGGCAGGTGAGGTGAGTCTTTGCTGTCCTATTTGTTTTTTAATTAAGTCCCTTAGCGAATTTTCATCTTTTAATTCCAAGTCAAAACCAGATAGCCAGATTCAAAAAGCAAGCCAAGGCAACAGAGGAAGGTAACAACTCAATTGTAGTTATTCAGAAAAACTTTTTATTCTTCAATGCGAATCAAGGGAATCATAAAAAAAAATTCCTGTTATAGCCAGATTCAATTCAATAATAGCCACAATAATATAAAGGTTCCATGATTTCATCGACCAACAGACCAAGAATAGACAGCAACAAGCAAAACACCAGGAAAACATTTCATGCATACTTTTACTATAGCTTTGGTCACGTGGTCATGACTCATGAGTCGGGGGTTTAAACCTAGCAGGGGTGTTATGATATTGAGAAAGAAAAATGAAATGAAAACCGTAGAGAGCAAAACAAGGGATATGAGCTAGGAACACACTCTAGTACTTCATTTCATTATCATATAATTTATACAAAAACATTAGATGTAGTAGTTAAGATATGTCTCATTGTTTCAAAGGAGTTTCACATGTTTTTTTGACTAAATTCAACTAATACCATTACAAAATTTCAGAATATTAACATCAAAATAAATTTCAAAAGCTATTATCCTACTATAGAAAAATCTCAAAGTCTAACGCTCCTCCTTAAGATTTTTCTTTGAGACTACAAGCTTAGCCCTAAGAAATTCAAACCTTGCTTTTAGAAAGACTTTGGTCATTATGTCAGCAATCTAATATTCAGAGTTGCAATGCGCTAAATTTACTTCACCAAGTTTTTTAGCTTTTCTAATTTCATGAAACTTCACATTGATGTGCTTGGTTTTGTAATGTTGCACTGGATTCTTTGTGATTGCTATAGCAAATTTGTTGTCAACCCATATTACAGTAGCTTCGTTTTGGTGTTACTCCAAATTTGTCAAAATTTTTCTAAGCCAAATGGCTTGGTTTGTTGTTGTTGCTGCTGTAGCTTGCAGCAGAAACATACTTAACTTCAGTTGAAGATTAAGCCACCACATCTTTTTTTTTTTTAATTCCAGGAGAAAACCACTGCCAAAAGAAAAAATATAACCTAAAGTGCTTTGGAATCATCCACACTTCCTGTATAATCACTATTTATATATCCTTCAAGCTTGTTACTTTTATTCTTCAAATACCATATGCCATAATCAATTATACCTCTAATATATCTCAAAACTCTTTTAGCCGCACGATAGTGAACTTAACTAGAAGATTGCATGAATCTTGAAAGCAAACTTGCTAAGTACATTATATTGGGTCTAATGGTTGAAAGATACAACAAACTCCTAATTAAGCTTCTGTATAACGAAGCATCAACCTTGCTTGTCATTTCATTCTTTGATAATATTTCATTAGCCACCAATGGTGTAGCCACTGATTTGCATTTTTCATATTGAATTTCTTCAAGTTCTCCAAAGCATATTTCTTGTATGAAATGAAAGTCTTAATATAATCTTGATGGATTTCCATTCCAAGAAAATATCTTATTTTTGCCTAAGTCAAACATCTCAAACTCTTTTTCCATATTCAACTTGAATTGCTTCAGAGAACCTTTATCACCACCTACGACTAACAAGTCATCCACATATAATGACACAATAAGCTGCACTTTAGTTTCAGAGTTCTTTACATACAATATAGCTTTACTTTCACTTCTTTTAAAGCCTTCTTGTAGGAGATAGGCATCAATTCTGCTGTATAAGCCATTAGTGCTTGTTTTAAGCCATAAAGAGCCTTGTAAGGCTTGTAGACTTTATCTTCATTACTTACAACTTGAAAACCTTTTGGTTGCTCAACATAAATATTCTCTTCAAGCAATCTATTCAAGAATGCTCATTTCACATCTAAATAATAAATTTTCCATCCCATTTTGGCTACCAAGGCTACTAAAAGTCTAATTGTGTCATGTTTTGCCACGGGATCAAAGGTGTTTGAAAAATCAACACCTTGTTGTTGTGAATAGCCTTTAACAACTAATGTGACTATGAGTTTGTTTACTGAACCATCTAGATTTAGCTTGATGTTGTGAACCCATTTTACTCCAATCACCTTTTGATTGCATGGTTTAGCAACAAGTTGCCAAGTTTTATTTTTTTGTATCATATTGATCTCTTTCTTCAAAACAACCCTCCACTCATCTGTTTTTGCAACTTCATTATAGCTTGAAGGTTCCACAGCAGCTAAATTATATATGGCATAGATCTTTTCTATAATTTTGGTGCCTCTAACTGGAACTTCAGTATCATTATCAGGCTTTTCATGTTGTTCTTGAGAAACTCTAGATTGACTAGAAGCTATGGCTTTTTCTTTCTCACAATTCCAACTTGCTAATTCCTCAAACTTTATATTCTAGCTTCTACATTTTGATCTATTTTGTCCCTTTTGACATCTGGTATATGAACATAGCAAACATAACCAAATATTCTAAGATGTTTAACTGAAAGCTTTACTTCATGCCATACTTCATAAGGAGTTTTGCCTTGCAATACTCTTGTAGGTAATATATTCAACAAATAAATTGAGGTATTGACTGCCTCAGCCTAAAATTTTTTAGGTATGTTCTTTTCAAATAGTAGACACCTTGTCATTTTCATGATTGTTCTATTTTTTCTTTCACTCACACTATTTTGTTAAAGAGTGTAAGGAATAGTCCATTAATATTCAATTCCAACTTGCTCACAGAACTTGTTAAACTCTCCTAAAATGTACTTAGCTCTATTATCAGACCTGATTTCAAATTTTGACAGCTAGCTTGCTTTTAACGAAGACTTAAAATTTTGAAATATAATAAACATCTCTAATTTTTGCTTCAAGAAAAACACCCAACACATCTGTCATAACATCTAGATCCGGATATCCATTGCTAGACATTGACTTGAAGGAGTCGACACCAATCTTTTTTATCTAGGTGCGATTGGCCACCTAAGGAATCTATCCTTTTAAGGAACACCTAAGCCTAAGGGTCCCTAAAAGAATAAGTTCAAGTCTACTAATCAGAACAGGGTTCGAAAGTACGGTTACGTGTGAGAAAGTATAGCACCATCACAACATTCATCAAAAGATGGTGCCAGCTTAATTTTGTGTTATCCAATAAGCTTTAAAAATTTATCAAGTAATTAATTATTGAAAATTATTCTCAATTGATTCTAATACTTTTAGCAAAAGATTGAGAAAATTTTATCACCTCAAGAGTATGCAAAGAGACTACTGTTTCACTTGCAGAGGCTCTATCATCGAATTATTTAACATTAAAAAAAATTCAAGACATAAAAAAGAAAAGAAATAAAAAAAATGTTCAGCTTTAGATATAAATCCTTTTCTCTTCAAAAACTCATTGCTTTTGTACAAAAAAAATTGATACTTTCAACTTTTCCCCAAGATGTTTTTCTGAAACTTTAATTTCGAGAAAAATTGATACTTTTAACTTTTCCTAAAAAAAAATCCTTTTTTAGAAAATTATTTTCAAAGAAAATTGATACTTTTAACTTTTCCTCGAAAATATTTTTTAGAAAACTTATTTTCAAGGAAAATTGATACTTTTAACTTTTCCTCAAAAATATATTTTTTGGAATTTTATTTAAAGAAAATCATTTAAAAAATAAAATAAAATAAAATAAAATAAAGAGTACTAAATAATTCTAATCTAATCAATAAATAATAATAATTATAATAAAAAACCTTTGGAACGGCTCGATTCGGTTGGAAAATGGCTCGTCTCAAGATAGAAAAGGTGGTTAGAAGATGCTGCTTAGGGACGTCAGCTCGGCTCGATTTCAAGGATCGACTAGCACGTGGGTTAATGAATCAATTCGCGATCGAGTCGGGTCAGCCTAAACAAAAACACTCAGATCCTGGTAACATACTAAAACTAAAATGATGTTATTTTACACATGTATAAAAGGTAAAGAACAGGTTTTTTTCCTTCAGATACGCCTTCCCCTTCTCTCTTTTCCCCTCAGCTTTTTCCTCCTTCTCTTTGCCCGAAGAACCAACCCAGAATCCGATTAAATTTTCACCGAATTTTGGAAAATAACGTCGAAAACTTCAAAATTGACCAAAAAACTCGTCGAAAAATTCAAAGTTCACCGAAAAATTTTGTCGGATTTTGGAAAATTTCTAAATTTCTAGAAATTTTCCAGAAAAAACTTCAAAAAAATTCAAAAAAAATCTTCTAAAAATCCTAAATTGCCTCTAAACACCTTTTGTTTCTATTTCCTCTCTGTTGTGTTTTTTTCCCTATCTATGTGTATTTTTTCGTGTATGTTCCTGCACCCATTTATAGGGATTAATCAGAAGAGTTACTGATCAATCTCAATTCCTTCTGAGATTAGGATTCATTCTTTGAATTCAATTCAAACTCTTTCAATCCCCTGATTTACGACAGAACCTCTTTCTAGAACCAAAAATTATATCTATCAAATAATAATTTAAACAAAATTCAGAACAGATAAACCTAAAAAAAAAAATAGATAAATATACATTGATAGATAAATAACAAAAAATATATTAATAAATAATAAAAACGTATATATATTAATAGATAAATAAAAAAATTAAAAGATAAATAATAATAATAATAAATATATTTATAAATAAATAAAAATAAAAAATAAAAATGCAAATAGGCTTACCCATTTAGTCCAGGCCTGAATGATCCGGGCCTGGACGAAATTAGGTGTCTACAATTGTCCCTCTTTGCGCATTTTCTATGAAATAGAAATTGTGCAAAGATGTAGACACCCTTTCAAGACTCAACTCGACACTTTCTTTTTTTCTGTTAAAATTTTGATCAAAGCTCTTCTAAGTAAAGGCTCAACGACTTTAAAAAAAATAAACAAAGTTTCTCTAAATAGAAGCTCCACGACCTAAAAAATAAATGGCTC